TGACTCTGGAGAGCAATTGTGCATCGCTGAAGCGTTCGATTCCGGATCGATCTCAGAGGCCGAACGGACGGAAAATCTGTGACGCTTGAGAGCGTTCCAAATGGAGAGGGGTCACGAATACTTTGAGGGCAATTCCCGCAGTTCCTCCTTTTTTTTGATGCTTTTCTATCGATTTGGGTCAACTATCTTGCAAGGGATGTCAAGACTTCTCTAGGCTCTAGACATAAGCAAGTAGTCAATCAATTCTAAGAATCCAATATAGTTGCTCGCAGTTGCAGCCGATGATGACTCCACCCAGTGGTCCGAGCTTCGACACTGTGGAAATGCAGGTCATCAGAGTGTGGAGTGGAGACCATTCTTGGCAAGATTTGTTTTCTGGACTGTTTTTGTCATCAGCGGGGAGTGAGTGAGCTCATGGAAACAACCTTGGCTTTCCGGGCTGAAATCCTCTACTGTTACTGCAGGAACACGAAATAAGACCCAATGCCACGGGATCTCATGACCCCACGGGCTGGTGTTTGGGAGCACATGGACAACCTCCCTTCCCAAGAGATCACGTGCCACAGCCACTTGGAAGAGAAGTGTGTTAATTACACCGGTTTTGGGGGGCGCAATGGAGCTTTCCGTCGTCCGAACTATATGATCTAGCATGGCAAGTCTCACCCACGAGCCCCATGGTTGGGGCCGAAGACGACGGCGACCACGCGGCATCAGACGAACACGACGTGGTGTTCGGCCATGCCAGGAGAAGATTCAGGCCGCGGCCCGGGAGCTCGAGCCCAGGAAGTCTGCGGATGAAAGCCAAGCCATGGCCGCTCGGCGGCGGGAGAGCGCCCGTGGCCGCGGTACGCGGAGCTCAGGAGGTTTTGCAGCGGCGGGGTCACTCTTTTCGGAAGAGAGGAGAGTTGCAGCCGGGTCAGAGACGAAGTATCACGATGACAGGAGAAGACCATAGAAGACCAGAAGATCATCCAAATCCATCAACCAGGAGTCACAAGACGGGGTGCCCGCCCATTGGAGGTAGTCGGGGTGCCCCTGTCACATCCACAGTCCCTGGCTGAGACCAAGTTCACCACCCAACTCCATGTGACTCCTGGAAGATCACCTTGGAATCGGTGACTCCTGGGAAGCTTTCTCAAGATATTTCAAGGAGTCACAAGCGAAATGGAATTCCAACGAAGTGAAGAGTCAAGGAGGGCAGCGGCCTCGGCGGATTACACCAGTCGATTCCATTTCAGTTTTCACCGACGTCGGAGTCGAGCGACACACACAGCGGGTCCCGACCGACACAGCGGTTCCTTTCCGGTTCTGAAACAGAGACGGAGGTGATGGAGTCGAGGAAACGGAGACAGCAAATGAGTCGGGTGAATGGACGAGCGCGGCGAAAGGAATCCAACATCATCCACCTGATTTCTGGTTTTGACATGTTTTGAACTCACTTTTGGTTTTGACATGTTTTCCACAAACCTGGGCTACTCAACAACTTTGCAACAGAAGAGACTACCAATTTAACTTGGCTCAGTACTCAAGCAGCTAAGTGACATTTCAAAAAACATGTGTGTCGTTTCTTCGATATCCGCACCAAACGACACCGTTCCTTTCCACCGTGGGACCGCATCGAGACTCAAATGGCAAAGGGTATACCACTTCACTGTGACCGCCCCTTCGAAGGGCGCCACCGCTCCCATCCCGGTTCGTTCCGCAGTGCGTGCGTGTTCGGCGGTCTCTTCGTGCACGACCGAGGTCTGGGAGTTGTTGGTGTACGACCTTGAAAGGTCAGGGACCTCTTCGCAAGGCGCGAGGAGCAGGGATGGGGGGCCGGGGCTCCCCGTCGGGATGGACGGTCCAAGATCTGCGCGGAGGGGGGGGGGCTGCGAGGAGTCGCGGAGGAGTCGCGGAGGGACGGGAGCTGAGGGCAGCAGTCTAAGACAGGGGCTAAACGTTGATGGCTGGTTGGATGGATGGGCTCCGATTTCTGGTTTCACAGGTTGCGAATCGCCCTCAAACTGGTGCAAACTGACGCAAACGTGAAGCGACGGCTCAAAAAGCCTCAAAAGCGGGTTGGAGGGCACATGTTGAAAGCCAATGTATCTAATGCCCTATAGAAGTGTCCAAAGTCGGAAAAGGATGTTCCCGAAATCAGGTACTATGAAAGAACGCGAAAAGCGAACCAACGTGAAAGCCGCTCGAAGTGCTCACGTGAAAACGGAACAGTCTTTTCCTTTGGGCGTTGCCTGTCATGTCGTGACTCAAGGGGCCCCTGCGTAGGAGCAGGATTCGAAAGTAAGCAGCGGCGGAAATGCCAAAAGCTGCATGCACAAGAACTCAAGTTCAAAATGAACATGTCCACATTTTTGTGGCAAGAAATCCACACCGGTGGTTGTGGGAAACCTAAGCTCAAAACAAGGCCGGCGGAATGTCGATGCGCCACCTCTCAAGGGCCTTTTGGCCGCAGTAAGCACAGCAATCCCACTGCTTCATTTGCGAGTGGTCTGCTGAAGACAAAGCTTGGCACTCAGGGTTCGTGTGAAAGGACTTTCCGCTCTTGGTGGTGAAGAGCGTCCGGGGCAGCCATTCTGGAGCAAGATCATCTTGGACTGCTGCCAGGCGGTTGTGCACATCGATCCAATTGTTTCTTGCTTTTCTGAACTCACCTTCAACTTCTCGTAGCTCGCACTGCATGTAGCGCTTGGTGTCGATCAGCTGCTCGATCTCTTCCTCTTGGGCAGAGCATTGAGCCTGTAGGTCAAACAGTTCAGCTTCTTGATCTCGGACGATATCCTGAAGCCGGAGGTTTTCGGACATCAAGATCTTGAGATCAGTCTCAGGCTCCTTCTCTGTCTGCGTGCCCATTGCCGTAGAGCTCGTGCGTGCCCATTGCCGTAGAGCTCGTGGATGTCATAGTCCACGTGGTTCTGGTAATCGAGGAGCACCAGGAAGTAGAGCTACAGCAGCGAAAGAGCTGCCAAAGAAGCATGCTGAGTGCCATCGTGTAGAGGATCATGATCGCTTCCGGGCTCAGCATGAAGGTCAGAGTGTCCTCCATGGTCACAGCTTTCACCCCAATCATTTGTGAGGTGAGGACAGCGAATGCCAGGTGCTTGGAGTTGCCGGTCTTCGTGATGGCATGTCGTCGAGCACTGGCTTGTCTTTCAGCCATCGTTTTCTTCTTGGAGGCCTGGAAGCTCATGTCGGCTTTGAGGGAGATGTGGTGTGACCTCAGGCGATCGGCAAAGAGTTGCCGAGCTGAGAACTTGGTGACGCCATCAGCCAGTTGAGCCTCAGATGAGACCCATTTGAGGCGTGATTTCATACTCAACATTTTCTGCTTGGTCACCATCACCTCGATCTTGGTGCGTTTGTCACCTTGCAAGCTCGGTGTTTCAGCCTTGAGGGAGTCGTAGAGAGCCTTGGCATCCACGACAAGTGCTGAAGCCATCTCTGGGGTGAAGTCGTCCACCTGCCTCAACTGGAAGTCATGGCGTATGCAACCTTCCCAAAAGATCAGGAGGTATTCAAGGGCGTCCATCGCAGCTGAACATGCTTGACTCTCAGCATTGAGTGAAGACCTGCTCACCCGAGGTAGTTTGAAGCTGCGCCAATCCAAGATCGTGTAGTCTTGGGTCGAGCCGTCCTCCAAGATCTGCTGGTTGCAGAGGAACACCACATAGCCTCCTTGAGACTCACTGTTGCGGCGGACTCCCCATGCAGCATCGCTCATTGCAACCATACATAGTTTCTCCATGTCACCACCGAGATCTCTGAAGGTCAGGGCCGCGTCGCTGTTGGACTTTGCGAAGCGAAGGACCTTGTTGGCCTGAGCTGCTGTGTCACCAGTGGCGGAAGTGACCTCGCCACAGAGCAGAGAGACTGAAGCGCTCAAGTGAGGTGAAGTCTGAGTTGCTGGCCACTGCAAGGCGCCCAACAGGGCACGAAGACAGCTTTGCTCTTTGGTGCTCAGGTTGCGGTTGGCATCGTAGTCGGTGCAGGTCATGGGCTTGACGTTCTTAAGGTATTCTGCTTGATGTAGTTTGGACTCTGTTGCATCCCGACTCAAGTGGCAGCCGCAGAACTCAAGAGGTTTCTCAGCACTCTCCTCGGTCCAGTGCTTGAAGTTGAATGCCTCTTTGAGCTGGTTCTTGAGGTGTTCATATTCTGGTGCACCATCTTTTCCACAGCCAAGTAGGTCATCGACATGTAGTCCGACCATTGAGATCAAGGCCTTGTTGGAGTCATAGTATGTGTACAGGCATTGATCAAGTGGATGGGCACGGAATCCAAGGCCTTCTAACCTTCTTCTTGCCACCATGAACCATTGTCGAGGAGCATCGGCCTGGCCATAGATCGGCTTGATCAACTTCATGAGTGTTCCAGGGGCGACTCCGATGAGGTTGCAAGCGTCTCTGGGGATCTTGGCCCATAGGACACGTTCTTGAGGATCTCCCTGGAGGAATGCTGTGGAGACATCTGCAGTCCATCGTTGCCAGTGGTTGATCTGGCTGATTGCCAGCAGGACTTGCCTCGAAGTTCTCGACAATGTGGGTGATGAAGTGTCCAAAGCTCCTTGCAGGAGATCAGGGTCAGAGAAACCCTGCAAGACTAGGCGTGCTTTCGCCTTCAAGCCTCCTTTGCCATCTGCTGCCCATTTAAGGACGAAGCGGGCTTTCATGACTCTGCTGTGGTCGACGGTCTCCGGGTTCATCTCAATCTCCCAAACACCATTTTCAAAAATACTTGACAGTTCGGCCTTCTTGCCCTCCAGGAATGACAGTCTGTCTTCCAAGCTCATGCGCCTCTCGTTGAGGTCGGCGCTTTCTTTGACATTCTTCTTCTTGGGGGCGACTGCGCCGGCACCAACAGCCTGCCAGATGTGACCTCGGCCAC